TCTCTCTGTCCCCCCAAAAATAAATAAACGTTGGAAAAAAAAATAAATAAAATTAAACATCACAATTCTGAACTATCCATGGGCCAAAGAAAAAAATCACAAGAAAAATTAGAAAATGTTTTAAACTGAACAATGATGACACTATAACCTATTAAATCTTGTATGATGCAGTAAACACTGCTGAAAAGAACAATATTAGCCTTTTATCCTTATATTAGAAAACAAGGAGGTTCTGAAAATTAGTAATTAATAATTAAGACAAAAGAATTGTTAAACAAGAAGAAAGAGGGGAGCCTGGGTGTTTCAGTCAGCTGAACATCTGACTTTGGCTCAGGTCATGATATCGTGGTTTGTGAATTCGAGCCCCCTGTTGGACTCTGTGCTGACAGCTCGGAGCCTGGAGCCTGCTTCGGATTCTGTGTCTCCCTCTCTCTCTGCCCCTCCCCACCTTGTGCTCTCTCTCTCTCTCTCTCTCAAAAAAAAAAAAAAAAAAAAATTAAACAATTTTTTTAAAAAAGAAAGAGAATTAAAGAGTAGAGATCAATGGAAAAGAGAAAAGCTACATGAGAGAAAACTTTAAACCAAAAGCTGTTTCTTTAGAAAGATCAAGGAAAGAGATCAATAAAAGACATTTTATTAGTACGATCAAGAAAAAGAGAGAGAACACATATTAGCAACATAGGAAATTAAAGAGTTTATTACTACTGATCCTGAAAGCAAAATAAGAAAATATCCTAAACTATATAGTTTGACAATTCGTTTAGCATCTTAGGTTAAATGAACAAATTTCTTTACAAATACAACTTACCAAAATTGATACTAAATAAAATGGAACACCCCCGATTGATTATGAAATGAATGCCCCCGATTTATTAAAGGAATTTAATTCTTCTGATCAAAAATCTTCCCACACTGAAAACCCTAGGATCAGATGATTTCGTTGCTGGATTTTGTCCAACATCCTAGGAAGAAATCACATCAGTCTAATGTAAGTTATTTCAGAAAATAGAAGGCACACTTTCAAACTAGTTTTAGAGGTCTGACTTAACTAATATTCCTGAACCAGACAAAGACATTACAAAAATTAAAAAAGAGGAAATTACAGACTAATATTCTTCATGTACAGAGACACAAAAATTATTACCAAGTATTAACATATCAAAGCCAGTGATATATAAAAAGGTCAGTATATTGTGATCAAAGGAGGTTTATGTCAAGAGTGAAAGTATTTCCTTAACGTTCAAAACTCAATCAGTAATAATTCATCCTACTGGTAACCATCAGTATGTTCTCTATAGTTAAGAGTCTGTTTCTTGGTTTGCCTCTTTTTTCCCCCCTTTGCTCGTTTGTTTTGCTTCTTAAATTCCACCTGTGAGTAAAATCACATGGTTGATACCTGTACAGAAGAATTGGGGGATAAGGTAAGGCCTGCTGTGACTTTGCCGGGAGTCAGCAATGTTCACCAAACAGCTTTTAGAACCATTTGATAGAAACACCAGGGCAGTGTCTTCCAGAGAGCAAGTGGTGGAAAACTCTGGGAGGAAAAAAAAAATGAAGAGCAGGGAAGATGCTTCCAAGAAATGTGTTAATGTAGGATGGAAGGAATCTGCCCGTCTTGTCTGGTGGAGGAATGTAGGGGGCCGCCTCCTCCATGCTGGGTATAACCTCCAATGGGCCAAAATAGCACAGGAAATAGCTTCTCTCAAATCCCTGCCTGTGGGTGATTACACAGCCTTCTCCCATGCACAAGACCAGGTACACAGAGACTGTTTTGTGGTACGTGAAGGAGCAAATGTGATGGACGCTGGACGCACTGTGCTTCCAAATGCCCTTCCTTGCCACAGGCTTGCTGCTGGCACCTTGGGAACGATGGGAGCAGGTTTGGGATTGGCCATTGCAGCCTCTACTTTGGCCAAGATAGAGCCCAGGGCAGTGGGTCTTCTGTGTGGAAGGAGACAGTGTATTGGGGTCTTCTGCACCCAAGTGGAAACCATCTGCAGGCACAACTTGCCATTCGTACCTTTAGTGGTGATTCACAATGGAATTTGTCAAAGTGTCAACGCGGACGCTTGGAACGAAATGTTAATATTTGGAGATGCTACTGCAGTGCCCCTTCCAGTCTGTCTTCTGCCAAACTCACATTATAAGCGAGTTATAACTGTGTTTTTTAGAGGCAAAGAGTATCTTGTACAAACGCCAGAAGAACTCCAAAATTCACTGAGCCAGAGCGTGGCAGACACAACTAAACCCTCTTCTATCAATATCATGACTAAGCCGTGAGCCACATGGAAGGCCCAGGATTTTCACTGGCTGGCCCACTGTAATACATAAATAAAGATGCCAGAGAGTGGTCTTGAGGAGTTTTCTCTTTCTTCTAAGATGGAATTTTATTTTCCACAGCAAAATTACTAAAATATTAAAATTAAAAAAAATTCTGAATGAAAAAAAATATATATATATATAATCCAGCCTAGCAACAGAACGATTACATGATTTCACTAGATGTAGCTTTTTTAAAAATTTTTTTTTAACGTTTATTTATTTTTGAGACAGAGAGAGAGAGCATGAACAGGGGAGGGTCAGAGAAAGAGGGAGACACAGAATCTGAAACAGGCTCCAGGCTCTGAGCTGTCAGCACAGAGCCCAAAGCGGGGCTTGAACCCACGGACCGCGAGATCGTGACCTGAGCCGAAGTCGGCCGCTTAACCGACTGAGCCACCCAGGCGCCCCTCACTAGATGCAGCTTTAATGAAATTTAAAGAAATACAACAAACAGGTTTAAACAGAGACTAGAAATAGGGGAAGGAGGAAGTGTTGTGAACAGGAAAGTGGACAGTGGTAGCATGGAAGGTAAAGATGGCAGACAGAATGAGAAAGTCTAGTATTTGCCTGATGGGAACTTCTTAAGAAGAGAATAAAGAGAATCCATTGGCAATAAAGGGGTAACAATGGAGATTTGTCCAAATTGGGGGAAGTTATGCATTCTGAGATTAAAGAAACATAACGAGTCTTTAGCCAGATGAAAAAATATACCTTCTCCTAAACACATTTTCTCCGTGGGAAAATCAAGAAGAATATCCTAAATATTGCCAGAGGGTGGGGACGGGGACGCAGAATACTTGCAGACAATTATACGCCGTGTACTTCCAAAGCAACAATAACCATAAGCCAAAGCAACTTCCGTGTACTTCCAAAGCAACCAAACATAAGCCAATGAGGTGTATGTAGGTTACCAAAGAATCATAGCCATTAAACTAGAATTCTAAATTCACCTGGAACAGTATTAAAAAGTGAGGATGAGTTAGTTAAGAAACAAAGCTAGAAGTTTGTATCCTTGAAAGAATTACTGAAAATTGAACTCCAGCCAAAGAGAGTGGAACCAGGAAAGAACAAATTGGGTACCAGAAGCAGAAGTAGACAAAGAACCACTGGTAAAATACTGTGGAAAAGTTAAATGAATAGTAATACTTAAAGATTCTAATGACAATTAGAATATAATAATAATATGTTATATATTTAATTACATATATAATATATTATTAAAATATAATAATTATGTTAT